GTTATGGTTATACTGCACCACCCTATGGACAGCCTCAGCCTGGTTTTGGGTACAGCATGTGAGATGGAAAGCTGATCCTGTAGTCACCTATTTTCATACTGAAACATTGTCTTTACCCACTTCTCAGTTTTTAACGAGGGAAACAGGCAACGTTGTTCTTGTAACCTTTATTTCATGAAGGACTACTTTTTGTTTCTAACTATAAACTTGGATCACCTATGTTAAAACATTATTTCACATTCCACATCATTTTAGAATTTATTTTCAAAGGGGAATAGTTTCAATGTTTTATTCACTTGGGCTTTTTTCCTTCCCCCTCATTCTTTGAAGAACTGCTTAATATTCAATCTGTTGTGAAGAACCTGATTTGCACTGTAGTGTTTAAAGAAACAAAGAAACTCTAATACTGAATCTCTTAAATTTAGTGTATGTAAACAGCTTAATATGTATTGTCTAAATGCATTTAAATCTCTTTTATTCAAAGAAAAGCTAAAGCAGAAATACTGGTATATGACCATGCAAGACTGTCAATGCCAACAAAGACAACACTAATCAGCGTATCCTACATTGGATTGCAGTGCTCTCCAAATTATTTGAAAAATGCATACAGACAACTTGCCTGATTTTTAAATGAGCATAAAAAGGCCCTCTAACCTATGCAGGTTTCCCCATTATGCATATAGAAAATGCTAGTGTTTTGCTCACTTCATATGTAACAGGTGCCCTTATGTTGTGCTGTATCCTGTGCTTTTTCTGTGGGACCATTCCATTCAGGAACAAAGAGCACCATGATTCCAATCTTGTGTGTACTAACCCTTCCCTGAGGTTTGTGTATGTTGGATATTGTGGTGTTTTAGATCACTGAGTGTACAGAAGAGAGAAATTCAAACAAAATATTGCTGTTCTTCAGTTTTGTTTTGTGGAATTTGAAATTACTCAAATTTAAAATAAATTACTGGACTGTGGAAGTAACATGTAGAATTGCAGTTTCAATTAAATCTCTCTCAAACCAAAAGAACAGTAGTTTTGGTAGTTGCATATTGGATACTGAGACATGATTCATGGAGGCATGAGAGGAAGTGGAATGAGGATTGGGACATGCGAAGAAATTGTGTATTATATCATGTATAGTCCTGTAGTTAATAAAGTAACAGGCAGTAGTTTAAAGAACCAGTCACTACTAGAGTGGGGTACATTTCACCTATCTCCAACATTTTAACCAAGTGACAATTTCACTTAATATAACCTAACGTTCATGATTTGTTCATTTAACTTGAAATAAAATATATTTGAACATGTAGTTACCATGCTGTTTCTCACCATGAATTGTAAAGGTGCCCAAATTATGGGTATTTTAAGTTGATTTTTTTAAAAAACTGGTTATGCATTCAACTCTTTTGCTTATGGCTGAGAATGTTACTACTTTAAGTTCATTTCACTATCCCTTAATCCTTAATAGTTTACACATAGCCCCTTGCCCAGCCTTGTATTGCTCTACAACTATTTAGGCAAACACCATAAGCTCTGCTGAAGAGTTTTTAAAAACTTAAAACCCCTGAGCTCTTTCCCCACCTTTAATCCTCCCCCTGCCAATCTTCATATAGGAAATTAGAGTATTAGCTGGAAAATTCCTTTAGGTTTGTCATAGTGAAAACATGTTCAGGCCCAGCTGTGCATATGTTCCTGGATCTCTGCTCCCTTTCTTCATTGTTAACAAATCAAGAGGGAGAATAGGAATGGTCCCTAGACTAGCAGCTCATTCTTTTCGGTGTCAAGATTTGTTCTGGACCTTTCCTATACTTCCAATCAACTAGTTTTCATCAGTGGGATGATTTTTCTTTTCCCTCATGGAAGCAAATAAAAATACTTTAATAAAGGTTTTCTTATAGCAAACAATTTTTTTTTTTAAGAAACAGTGGTTTTTTTTTTTTTTTGCAAATTGCCACTTTAAGCTGTCCATACCTGTCCATAGTAGAAAGAGAAACCTCTGTGATGTATGACTTAGGTTCAAACCCTGAGCCAAGTTGAGCTTCTGAGCTTGTTTCCTCATCTGTATATTAACACTGAGTACTTTTCAGAATTATTTGGCATTTATCTTTGAATCACAAAATGTTTAGCCCAAGACTGGACAATTGTAAGTGTACACTAAATGGCAAAATTAACTGGTAATAAACTATTTTAAGCCAAGAATCTTCCCTAACATTACTCTGAGTTTATCAAAGATGATGTTCTAGAAGGAACTAAAAACAGACAAGGGTTCTAAAAGTTCTTACCACTCTCTAAATGTAACTTGAACAGGAGGAAAGAAAGGGAGAGAGATTAATGGAAAGCTTTCAAGTGGCAAGCAAGCTTTCCATCTTGCCTAGTATCCAAATACAGCCACTGTACAAATTGATACTTGTTGAAAACTATATCAACATGGCCACTAGTATTAATTAGTGTGAGACTAATGATCTCCAAGTAGTGCTGCTTGACTTTTTTGTACATTTAGTCATGCAGACATTCTCATTCTAGATTTTAATTCTCTTAAATTATTAAAAATCCCAAAGAGCTTTAGTTTGTCATTTATATCTATTGATATTTACTATATTAGAAATTTTTAAAAATAGTAATCCATTTAAATGTAACAGTAATTAATATATGTTAACAAAAAACCTTACACATTGATATATGGAAAATATTGATTTACAGAAATAGCTCTTCCGAATGTTGGCACATTTTGCTAGATATTAAAAAATAATTTGTAAGGAACACTGATCTCATCCAAGAAGTCTTAAGTTTTGGGAAGCTTGGAGGAGAGGCAGATGCAGGTTTTCCAAAATACTGTCAGTTCTTTTCCTTGAAGTGACTGGCTCAGATAATCTATGAGAAAATGTCTCAAAACACCCAGGTTTGAGTAACTATAATTTGTCAGTTCTTACAAGTAAAAATGTTCTATGACAAAGCAGCTAGTTCAGCTCATGAAATTAGTCTCACAAGTCCTTTTTCTTAAGCCAACAACCATACCTTGTGTGCAGTAGTGTTTAATGTTACACAAAATGTTAAGACAAATAGTCCTGGGCCAAAAACATTAATTTTTTTTACTGTTTCATCAAGGACATTAAGTGAGGCTTAATGAATGCTACCAAGTGAAGAATACAATGGTACCCCTGCTTTGATTTGTGGGAGATGCCAGCAGTTTTCCCTACCATTGCTAGTGCAAAGTGTCAACACAGGGAAAAGAAAAGGGCTTAGTATTATGAAAGTGGTTTTCACCCTGCAGAGACCCCATGGACTGCAGAGTATACTTTGAGAACTATAAGATTAAAAGTCCCATAAAACATTAAGTATAGGTGAACTAGAAAGCAAGTATATTTACAGATTTACCAGAATTTCTGTATTTATTCATCCTAGTAGATATGCCATGCTTTATTAGTTACTTAAATCAGCCACCCAAGGCCATCCTGTTGGGAATGCACTGAATTTGGAGCCATCAGTCTGAGGCAAGCCACAGAAATTACGTGAGCCAAAATCATGCATTTAGGATTGAGTTCAACTCAGCCCTACATATTGTTGCATGTTATTGCATCACTTTTGAAGCCAGTATAAACATTGTTTAGAAACAGTTGCTATTGTGGCATCATTCAAATTTGCAACTTCTGTGCTGTCATACATCTATGTAAACTCTAAAATGGACCAAATATTAGAACTTTAAAGACTGGCTGTGGTAGTCTTAGTGTTCTGCCCATAGACTCCACCAATGACCTTAGACCTTAAAATTATGCTATAATGTTGCTTATGTTGTAGTTAACCATGGAGTGTTAGAGCCACTCGAAATGGGCCTATTACCAAAATTCTCCCTGGCATCATTAGTTTTTAGGGATATACTGAATTTAGAAATTACTATCAGGTTCCTCCAAAAAGGCTTTAAAGAATAATGGATTCTAGCAAGACAATCAGGAAGTTACGTGGCTTTGGGGAGTTGGGGTCTTCTGCTTCATATTCTGGGCAGCCAGTGTAACATAGTAATTATTAGAATTATACCAGACACATATAAAAAGCAAAAGGGGGCTGGGTGCGGTGGCCCACACCTGTAATCCTAGCACTCTGGGAGGCCATGGGGGGGATCACTTGAGGTCAGGAGTGCAAGACCAGCCTGAGCAAGAATCCCCATCTCTACTAAAAATTAGCCGAGCGAGGTGGCATGCACCTATGGTCCCAGCTGCTTGGGAGGCTGAGGCAGGAGGTTCACTTGAACCCAGAAGTTTGAGGTTGCAGTGAGCCATGATGATGCCACTGTACTCTAGCCAGGGTGACAGAGCAAGACTGTCTTTAAAAAAAAAAGCAAAATGGACAAAAGTGACCCTTAATAGTCTAGTTCTAAGAAAAGAAACATCAGAGATAACAAACTACATTTATTTCAATTACCATAAATTCTTACATGGTCCCACTCATGTCCATTTGCAAGGTACATATGGTTTCTTCACAAGTTTCAATGGCTTCATTGTTAGAGGAAAGAAGGAAAGTAGAGAAATTTTTATAAACTATGATTCAGAGACACTGCTGCTAACCTTTGGCCAGTCTGAGTCAGAGACAGTGAACACGAAACACTGCACAGGTGGGTTCTATCACTGCTATAAAACCTTGACTTTGAGACAAAAATCCAAACAGATTTTTGGATGGTACATGGCTGTACCATGATCTATCATAAAATAGGCTGTTATCCAAAAAGTGAGAGGGGAACAAATTGCAGTTTGAATCTAGTGGGAATACCCTTGAACCTGTAATCCTCCAAGGACAGCAGGGTAGTCTTGGGGAAGAGCTACCAACACGCAAAATGATCTAACTATGCATAGGAAATTGCTGTTTCTCCCCTTTTAATACAATTTTATCATGACCTGTTTCTCTCAATTTAAATATTTGTTTCAGCATCTATCACCTGAACCACCAAGATCATTTAACCAACAGTAATTTTTTTAAGCCCAAGGTGACCACTCTGTAACTGCCAAATACATGATGGAAGAACACAGGAATGGATTTTATTTTCATCTCGAGAATATTTAAACTGGGGGAAGAAATTCAGCTTTTATTGTTAGAATTTGACAGACTTCAAACACACATGATAGAGGAATTGTTAGAAGTCCACCTAGTAAAGTTTTAGGTGACCAGTGACTTTGTCTATTAGGTCTGCTGGTCCTGGCCCAATTCCTAGGACAGTTCGAGAGCCTGGTGCAATCTGAGTACGTCCAGCATCTTGGATTAAACTCACAATCAGTCCCAGCATTTTCGCGTGGGTCAGTAATTCAACCAGAGTTTCTTCATCAGGAGCTTTGACCACTACTTTGGGCTGGCCACAGTACTCCCACTGTCTGAGCACTTCAGGGTTTCTCCTTTGAACTTGCTTGTAGGCAGAGACAGCAGCATGAGAGCACTGGGCAGCCACTTTTCCTTTTCCCATCTTTAAGTCGGTTCGAACCACAAGAATCATTTTGTACTCCCCATTTTCTCCTAAGACGCTTGCTTCAGTTCCAGTCTCTGTGTCTGTCTTGCTCGTCAAGCTTTTGGAGAGCATCCCAAAGCGTACTCGCAGGCCCCAGCCCAGGCACATGCCACAAGCAACTCCAGCAGCCAAGGTGAAAGCACCAGGATGAGCCAAATATTCCATAACCAAGGATTTGAAGGGCATCTTAAGGGAAAGGAAAAAAGTTATCACCGTCTAGCTGTAGTAAGATATAGGCTTATCAGACAAACACTTTGACTATAAGCAGCAAGTAACATTTTTAGAACTATATGAGGTTATCTAGAAAAAAGGCAAAATATATTTTGGATCTTATGCATGCAGCCTATTTCCACTTCCCACCTCCCACCCCTGGGTACTAGAAAAGAGTCAAGTATCCACATGAAGCAGTTTAAGTCATTTTGAATTTTTTTTTTATTTGAGACAAGGTCTTGCTTTATCACCCAGGTGGAGTGCAGTGGCGCCATCACAGCTCACTGCAACCTCAACTTCTGGACTCAAGTGATCCTACTGCCTCATCCTTTGGAGTAGCTAGGACTACAGGCATGCGCCACTGTGCCTAGCTAATTTTTTTTTTAAATGTGTTTGCAGAGACAGGACCTTGCTATGTTGCCCAGGCTGGTCTTGAACTCCTGGCCTCAAGCGATCCTCCTGCCTTAGCCTCCCAAAATTCTGGGATTACAGATGTGAGTCACCACACCTGGCCATTTTGAATCTTAACGTGAGCAAACTCACATCAAGTTCAAAAACTCTTCTTTAGGCTTCCCTAGGTCTTGTAGAGAAAGGAAATGTTCTGTTTTACCAAGATGCCTAAAAGATCTAAAGAAACCAAAAATAACTCACCCCTTTCTTGGAATACAGTGCTAATCTGTATTTTCACAATGCAGTAGTTTTCAATGGAGAAGGTATCAAAGAAGTTACCCCTGGAAGGACCTCAGAGAAATTTCCCATTGTCGTGTTAATGGACCTGGAGTAAGTGCCTTACTGACATTTACTAGGCCTGAGCAAAGATGCTAAAAATTGCGCAAAATAAAGAGTTGTCCCATTGGGCATTAGTGCAGGTGAAGAACTTAGTATCTGAGATTATAACTCCATTTTACATACGAACACAAAATATTTTTTGCAGTTTTAACATACACAGACATTCCTCAACTTACAATGGGGTTACGACCCAATAAACCCATCATTTAATACATCTAATTTACCGAGCATCAAAGCTTAGCCTAGCCTACCTTAAACATGCCCCAAACACTTACATTAGTATACAAGTGGGCAAAATCATCTAATACAAGGCTTATTTTATAATAAAGTGTTGAATATCTCATGTAATTTATTAAATACTATAACTGAAACACAAAATGGTCACATGGGTACTCACCATTAATGTACACAGATAAAAGCACACTGGGCCTGAAGAATGTCTGAAGCATTGAAATAAAATTAATTGCTGGATGATGGGAATGCTATAGTAACACGCTCATCAATTTCTCTCTCTTCTGAGGCTCGAGAATAGCTGGTAGAAGGCACTGGGGCATCAATACTTGTTGATGGTTTAGCGGGCATAGTGTTCTTCAGGAAGATACCAAGTTCTGACTGTACGGTTTGTTTCTTCTTTTCATTATATATTTCTCTATAGCAAGCAAGAGCATCCTGTATCTGCCTGTCAACTTTTTTGAATCTCTCATAATTGACATCCATTTTTTCTAACATCCGCACACCACTGCTGATAGCAGCAAATGCCTCTGCCAGCTTCTTTACTGTGAAATTTCTTGGTGCCTTGGGTATAACTTCTTCCTCTGCCTCAACTTCTTTAATTCTTTCTTCCTTTAGTTTGATCAGCTCCTCACTGCAAAGATCTTCAGCCACAAACATCCTATGCAACTGTTCCTTAAAAGCTTTGGCACCTTCAATATCTGCAATTGTTGCCTCACCACTGACCTTCACATTATGAAAATTATGACGCCTTTTGAAGCGCTGGAACCATCCATGACTTGCTTTAAATATCTGTGTATATGTAGGGTCATTGGTATGCTCTTTTAGCATATTGAAAAGACTTCTGGCCTTAGCCTGGATCATCAGTAGGCTAAGTGGTATGTGCTTCTGTATCTGGTCTTCCATCCAAACAACAAGTAATTTTTCCATATCATCAATTGGCCCAGCTCTTTTCTTTGTGATGACAGTGGATTTAACCGATGCTGATGATCTCACTGCATCAATGATTCGCTTCTTATCCTTTAAGATGGTTGAAATCGTAGACTGCGAAAGTCCAGACTCACGTGCGATGGCCATTACTGGCTTGCCGCCTTCGTGCTGGGTAATTATCTTGAGTTTCATCTCAAGAGTAATTGCCTTCCTCTTCTTCATCTCACCAGAAGCAGGAGAAACAGATGGGCACTTCGTAGACATGATGGGATGTGAAAACACCGAACACAATATTCAAAGAAGCTGGCGACACAGTACACTGTCGAGCATCAGTTGTTTTCCCTCGTGATCACACGGCTGACTGGGAGCTCAGTGCCGCTGCCCAGCATCACGAGAGAGTACTGTGCCGCATGGCACTAGCCTGGGAAGAGATCAGAATTCAAAACTTGAAGTACAGTTTCTACTGACTGGGTATTGCATTCCCACCATCATAAAACTGAAAAATTTTAAGTTGAAGACTGTACTGAATTTTCCAAAAGTGCAGCTATCACGTAAAACAAAAGAATATTATCCTTTATTATTTTAGAAAATCCTGTTAGCCCAGAAAAGCTGTTCATGATATTTAAGTCACCAATAAAACACCTGCATCAGTCTACATTTGAGGCCATTGGATTCATAATGCTTCTACGTGGAGGTACAAGCAACCATCAGTTTCTTCTTCTAGTGGAACAGTATCCAAGCATTTATAAACATAGGGCCACTGTATTTGTAGTGCTTGTAAGTGGCACCCTTAACTGTGTAGTGTATAATCAGCATAGCATAGATAGATGACAACCCCGGAAATACTTATTTTATCATAAATTTTCTTTTTATTCTTCTTTATGTTAAAATTAGGACATTATATTAACATTTTTGAAAATATGTATGTTAGATTATGGAAATATTAAATATTTCCACCTCAGGATAGTATATAATTCATATGCCATAAAATTCACCCTTTAAAGTATAGAATTCAGTGGTTTTTAACATATCCACAAAGTTGTGTGACCATCAGACTATTTAATTCCCAAACATTTTCACTGCTCCAAAAGAAACCCCTTTATCCATTAGCTGTCACTTCTCATTTTCCTCTCCCCTGGTGAATGCTAATCTACTTTATGCCACTATGGATTTGCCTATTCTGGACATTTTATATAAATGAAACCATACACTATATGGCCTTTTGTTTCGAGCTTCTATTGTAAACCATAACATTTTCAAGGTTTATCCATGTTGTGGTGAGTATCATTACTTCATTTCTTTTTATTGATGAATAATATGCCACTGTATGAATATACCACATTTTATCCATCAGCATCCCTCTCTCTATTTGCAGTCCTTTCTGGAGCTACTTTCTTAAATGCCCAATTTCTACAGGCAAGAAAGCAGGATGACCAGGAGATTGCAGTCAGGAACATTATTTCTAGTAGAAAGATGTGGTCAACAGCACTTTGACACGCTTCGTCTATTAGTTTTAGCAAAAAAGGCGTTATTGCTTTTGGTGGGGCAGAAACTAGTTTGAGGTGGGGTCAAGAAATAGAGACAGGCCGGGTGTGGTGGCTCACGCCTGTAATCGTAGCACTCTGGGAGGCCGAGGCGTGCGGATTGTTTGAGCTCAGGAGTTCGAGACCAGCCTGAGCAAGAGCGAGACCCTGTCTCTACTAAAAATAAAAAGAAATTAATCAGACAACTAAAAATATATAGAAAAAATTAGCCGGGCATGGTGGCGCATGCCTATAGTCCCAGCTACTCAGGAGGCTGAGGCAGGAGGATTGCTTGAGCCCAGGAGTTTGAGGTTACTGTGAGCTAGGCTGATGACATGGCACTTGCCCAGGCAACAGAGTGAGACTGTCTCAAAAAAAAAAAAAAGAAAGAAAAAAGAAAAAGAAAAAGAGACAGAAAGTAGCAAAAAGAAAAAGCAATGGATATAAGGGGACATGGAGAAAAGGAAAAGTAAGAGTTTTTTTCTCTTAAGAAGAAACAATGAACACATTTAAATGTCAGTGGGCTGGAGTCAGATGAAAGATAGGTAGACGCTCAAGATGAAGTCTTTATAAAGGGATTCTGTCTTGGAAAGAAATGGGGCACCTTTCCCGGTGTGAGTTTTAGTCAGGCAGGTCTGTGGATTTGGAGGCAGGAAGTTATTCTCTGGAGGGAAGGAGGTCATACAGAAGACAAACTGAAGGAGAGAAGAGAAAGACTGAAATAAAAGGTATGACAGAAATGCAGAGGAAACTGCCTAATCACTTCCTCCAAACATATAAACTAACCTGTATCCACATTCATCCTTCACCCTCCCCTTCTATTAGAATGGATACTTAGATTTATCCAAGTTTGAATTTTGCCAGGAGTAAGCACCAAGACACAATGGTGCCCAGGAATTTAGGATGAGGACAAGAATGACTGAAATGATAGACCATGAAACCTATATTCTTAGAGAATGATTTAAGGACAGCAAAGTGATAGATGCTATTTATCTAGACACGCTATTAACAGGTGTCATGAAAGTAGGCTGGAAAGGCAGATGGCTGTGGTTAGAGAGAGGCCTTGATTTTGGAAATGGAAAATTAAAGAGACACAAAGCCCAAAACATAGCTACAGAAATGAGTATCTGAAATATCGTCAGGAGTGTGTCACTAAGTTCATCTACCTTCTCAATTCTTTCAATTTTTATGATATACTGCCTCCTTCCCCCCAAACACTGGTTGTTTACAAAGGAGGAGTACACAAAAAAGTCCCTTCTTCAATGGAGTTAACATTCTAGCAGTGGTTTTGAAGTGGCTCAATCCTAATTTTGAGTTTCTTTCATTTTATTTTAACACTTTGTTTTTATAACTCAAAATTTCAACAATACTTTGACATGTATTGTATCATTCGATCCATATAATACAGAGAAGTTAGGATTATTTCTGTATGAAAAATGAAGAAATTGAGCCCAAGAAAAGAGAAGTTAAGCTCAATAAAACAAATGTTTTCTGGCTATGTGCCAGGCAGGCACATTGTTAGGCTGAGAATATAGTGATGAACAATACAGGCCACTGTCTGTTGTTCACTGTACGAGTGGAGAAGACAAATAATTACAAGGGTTGTAAATGTTATGAAAAGGGGTCAGGGGAGTACATAAAAGGCTTTAGCTCTGTTTAGAAGCTCAGAAAAGGCCTCCTTGAGGAAATGATATTGAAACTTCAACAAAGGATGAGTAAGAAACGAGAAGGAAAGATCATTCCAGGCAGAAAGAACACCAAGTGGGAAGGTCAGCACAGAGAAATATGGTTATGTCAAATGACCTGAAAGTAGTCCAGATAGCTGAAGGATGTAGAGGAAAAGTGGCAGAGGACAGAGACAGAAAGAAGGGCAGATACCAGATCAAAGAAGGCTTTATAAACCATGTTAAATAATTTGGAATTTACCTTAAGGACAACGGGAAGCTGTTGAAGCAAAATGACTTGTTTTCTAAAAGATCACCTGGGGCTTCAATGTAAAGAATGAATTAGAAGTTGGCAAGAATAGATATAGGGAGATCAAAGTAGGAGGCTGCTATAATGTAATAATAGTAATAGTTAACATTTACTAAGTGTTTTGCTATATATTAGGCATCGGCTAAACACTCTATATGAATTGTCTCCCATAATGCTCCCAACAGCACATTAAGGTAAATACAGACGGACTTACTACAGTTCAACTTACGATTTTTTTTCAACTTTACGATAGGGTGAAAGCGATATGCATTCAGTAGTAGAATCCTTACTTCAAGTACCCACACAACCATTCTGTTTTTCACTTTCAGCATAGTATTCAATAAATTACACGAGATATTCAACATTTTATTATAAAATAGGCCTTGTGCTAGATGATTTTGCCCAACTGTAGGCTAATGTAAGTGTTCTAAGCATGTTTAAGGCAGGCTAGACTAAATAAGCCATGATGTTAGGTAGGTGTATTAAATGCATTTTTGACTTACAGTATTTTCAACTTACAATATTTTCAACTTACGATGGGCTTATCAGGACATAACCCCACCCTAAGTTGAGGAACATCTGTATATAATTATTATCCCCATTTTTCAGATGTGGAAATTAAGGAAGAGAAACTATAGTTTGCCCAAATTCACACAACTCGTAAGTATTAGTAGTCTTAAACCAGAGCCCACGTTCTTTTTTTTTTTAACCAGAGCCCACATTCTTTTTTTTTTTTTTTTTTGAGACAGAGTCTCACTGTGTTGCCCGGGCTACAGTGCCGTGGCATCAGCCTAGCTCACAGCAACCTCAAACTCCTGGGCTCAAGCGATCCTCCTGCCTCAGCCTCCCAAGTAGCTGGGACTACAGACATGCGCCACCATGCCCCCGCTAATTTTTTCTATATATATATTTTTTATTAGTTGCCCAGATAATTTCTTTCTATTTTTTTAGTAGAGACCGGGTCTTGCTCTTGCTCAGGCTGGTCTTGAACTCCTGACCTTGAGCGATCCACCCGCCTCGGCCTCCCAGAGTGCTAGGATTACAGGCATGAGCCACCACGCCCAGCCAGAGCCCACGTTCTTAACATTACTCTATTACACCTCTCCCGGTAGACTAGATGAGATGATGGTCACTTAGACATGAGTAACGGAAATGGGAAAGAAAAGAAGTGGCCAAGGCACATCTGTCTGATTTGGTGACTGATTGGAAGTTCGGTGATAAAAGAAAGGGAGAAGTTAAGAATGACACCTGTATTTGAACAAATGGAGAACAGAAGTACTATTTCCTTATAAAGTTAATTCTGGTGAAATAACAGGTTTGAAAGGAAAAGATACTGAATTCAGTTTTGGTGTGACTGAACGACATCTTGGTTAGAGATAGCTAGGGAACAAAAAAAAGATATATCTGTTTAAAGGTCAGAAAGGCCTGGGCTGGAAATACATATTTGAGACCCCAACATATAAAGGAGGTTATTGAAGTGAAATAAGTGCATGAGGCCACTTGGAAAAATATGTAGAATGAAGAAAGGACTAAAACATAATCCTGAGTAAAAGAACATTCGAGATCAAAAGAGAGTGACTTGGAGTGGCCAGAAGAAGAGGGGTCACATACGGTAAGTTTTAGCGCACCTAGTTTCAGTCCGCTACCACTAGAGTGCCTAAACAACAGTGACGGGGCTGCACTGACATAATACTTTATGGTTCTAGATGTCTTTTCAGGAAAAAAAAATTAAATTCTTAATAGAAAGTTTTACAAACCCACATTATCTCATGTGTCTATCATTCAGTTGCTACATGATGTTTGCATATTAGCAGGACTTCTTTTTGATAACCTAACAGACTCCAAACTGAAAAAATATTCAATTATTTCTTAAAAGATATAGTAATATCTATGTCATCAATTAGAAGCATTCTCTGCATCAATTTCTAGGTTGCAAAGTAACCAAATATCCCATTTACCAGATCCAGGTACTATATGGAGAAGGGAACTGCTCTATATAGAGGAGCTATTATGTGTCGGATAACATACTAAATCCTTTACATCCATTATCTCATTTATTGTTTGCTATGAACTTAGAGGAAGATGATACCTTCATTTTCAAGATGAGAAAAATGTGGACCAAACAGAAAAGCTGCTTATCCACAATAACTAATAAGAGGAAGAACTATAAAATATATCTATCTAAAGGTCATGATAAAAAGCTTATCTAATATACCAGTAAGATCAAAAACAGAGAACAATGAAAGTTGCAGAAATTACTGTTTTTTGGTTATGTCCCATATCTCAATGGGGTCTCTTATTAAAACTAATAACTGTTAGTTATTAAAACTAACACTTATTATCTTTGTTTTTAGTATGTTCTAATCTCATATTAACCTGATCAAATTATCATCTAACTCCTCTACAAGAGTGTGTCAGTCTGTCCTTTCTTCTGTACCTACTGTAAGCACATCAATAAGCCCAGAGCTTGAGACTAAGGTAAAAATAACTATTCTTAGTCTCACAGATAATCCTGGGCAATGACAGGACAATAAAACAAATATGTCCTATAAAACTCTCCTCTTGGTGCCTTCTAATTCTCCTGCCTGACTAAACCAGTTTCATAGGTCCTCTTGATCCCACTGCTTCCTGAACCACACTCCACCCATTAAACCTGCTTCACTGGCTACTGTCCCTCTGCATTTTCCATCCTAAAGAAACCTTTCCCTGGCCATGCTCATTGGCTCATACCTGTAATCCTGGCACTTTGAGAGGCTGAGGCGAGAGGACTGCTGGAGCCTACCAGTTCAAGACCAGCCTGAGCAACATAGTAAGACCCTGCCTCTACAAAAAATAGAAAAATTAGCCAAGTGTGGTGGTGTGCACCTGTAGCCCCAGCTATTCAGGAGGCTGAAGCAAGAGAATCACTTTGAGGTTGCAGTGAGCTATGATGATGCCACTGCACTCTAACCCAGGCAATAGAGCCAGACCCTGTCTCAAACAAAAACAAAAACAAAACAAACCTTTCCTAAATCATCTTTGATGCTTAAGCCACTGTCTCATTTTTCCTCTTCCCTTTACCTGCAAACTTTTTCAATTACTTATCTCTATTTCTCCTTATTGAATACCCATAGCATTTCAAGCTGTTCAGCTCTACACAGAAAGAAAAGGTTTCTAAGAATATAATCGAAAGATTTTTATTTGGCTGCCTCTCTTTCTCACTCCAGTGAAATTGCTAAGGAACCAGACGCTTCCTAATTGCCAAATGTAGTTGCCTTTTTTTAGGCCTCATCTTGAGTTTTCTGTACCACTCACTGATCACTTTTAAACCTTTAAATTTTCCTTTCTGGAATTGTTTCACCCAACTTTCACCTGATTCTCATCTCTCTGACAGCTTTTCAACAATCTCCTCTAGTGCTACATCTTCTACTTGCTCCTGATATACGGATTACCTAACTGTATAAATTTGGCCCTCTTTTCAGTGTATCTCTACACTGCCCAATGTAGTAGCAATTAGTCACATGTGGTTATGTACACTTAGATTAATTAAAACTAAACATTTAGAATTCTATGAAGTATTCTAAACTGTGTCCTCAACTGAACTCAGTATCTTCCCTCCCCTCTCAAACTTTCTGTATTCTTGATTTCTAAGTAAACTTGGACTTTTCTCCCTCCTATGTTCTACCACATCCAGTCACTAAATCCTGTTAAAGGCATGTGTTTTTAACCTACCTCTCTATCTCTACTACCAGTGCCAAAAGTCCTGCCAAAGTCTCCAAAATAAGCTTCTGTCTCTAACCTTCCCACATTTGCTTCACTCTTTCCCCAGTTCATCCTAGTTCACGTTAACATTCTAATTATACTTCTAAAACACATGCAAATTCTCTGCTCAAAAATTAGGGGCTAAACGCCTAGAGAATAAAACATATCTCTTAGCATGAATTCAAAGCACTACTCAATTTGGTTACAGCTTACTTTATCCTTCCAACTTCCTCTCCTCATTCATACTGTCCTATCCAGCCACCCCAAATTACCAGGTCCTTTCAAGCAGCAATCTCTCCGCTAAATTAGTTCCTATTCTTCTCAATTTTTTTGAAAAAAAATCCTATTCACCTGTAAAGGCCCAGTTCAAATGGCACTGTTTGTGAAGTCTTTACCATCCCCCGGATTTAATTATTTCCTCTTCAGAGCTTTTGGAGCACTGAGACATAACGACTGTACATTTCCAGCGTCTAGTACCATGCCTAGGGTATAATGTTAAAGGATTAAAAAACTCTCTAGACAATATCTTTGTGTGGGAGGGAACAAATCTTTCGATTATATTCTTAGAAACCCACGTAGAGCTCAACAGCTTGAAATGCTGGGAGTATTCAATGGGTATTCAATAAACAGCAGAGTTTGAGGCCTGTTCCATATTTTCTCAATTCCAGAGAGAGCGCATCACTGAACGGAGGTTTTGCTGGGAACTAGAGCTGCTGGGAGCAGCTTGCTCCCAGAACAAGAACAGAGGCCTCCAGCGGCCACTCGGCGGAAGACAATAAAATGAAGGAGAGTGGGTCATGGAATGAGGTGGGAAGAGACGTTCCAACTGGAGCGAAAATGGAGAATGATCGCCCTCTCTCCTTCGCTGTGTAAAGAGCCAAACCTACCTAAAATACCTCTTCTCCTTCTCAGTCGGGCCTTCCCGTTCTTCACTTCTGGGCAGCCAACACGCGTCCCACGGGCGAGCTACCTCTTCCGGGGTGCCTAGACAAGTTCCGGATCAAGAACCACGAAGCAACCAGTCATTCTTCTTCTTGCCACACCCACAAGGCCGGCATCAAGAGCCGAACTGAAATTCCGCAAGGATCAACCGAGGCTGCCCAAAGGCGGGGGGAACGTTTCTCTTTTGGAGGCGGTCTCCGGGGGTGGGGAGACTGGGCCGGAAGTGACGTAAACGAGTTCCGGTTGGCCGGAGTCCAGCGGCGGGTGTGAGAGTCGGTCAGGAGCCGCTTCCAGGATCCTGAGATCTGGAGACGCTGGGGTCGGAGCGGGTAGGTAAACTAACGCGGGGAATTGGGGATGGAAGCCTGCGACTATCCACAGAGCTTGGCTTCTCCCGGAGCTTTCCCACTTAGACGGTGCAGATCTGGGGCACCGTAATTTCGACTTCCAGCAGTGTTTTAGGGCGCTGCTGATGCTGAATGTCTCAGCCTGGCGGTAGCCAGGTTATTTGGGGCACCTCATGGTTGGTCACCCGGACATTGAACCCAGACACCTGACTCCCGACCATTCGTTCTTCTCTCCGCGGACTTAGAAGCTGTACCTTTTCGTCCTGGTGTGTCCAGGATCTCACAGTATATGGAGAAGGTCTTCCTTGCTGACGACCGAGCTGTTCTCAGGATCTGTCAGTTTGGTTCTTGCTCTCCCCAACGTTTAGCGCGTGATGCTAAATGTATCCGCTCCTAAACGAAATTCAGACGTGCTAGTGCCATCTAAAGCGCTGATGGTGGTACAGGGTCGTCAAGAGAATGGGCCTTCGCTCCGTAGAGCCCTTGCAGAGGACCTTGTCAGATATCCCATTACTTTCATGAAAAATAGAGTTCTCCGCCTTTTCAAACCCCTGACCTCTGACTCCTGTATTTCGTTACAGTGGAGGTATTTGCAGTAAAACAGAAAGGTCGACTTAATCTCTAAAATTCCCAGAAGCCATATGTGGTCCTGTGTCACACTGCTAGATTATTTATGACCTTTAGTAGATTTTACACAATCATCATTTTATTGCCTGCAACTCCATGCAAAAATTTAATAATGTATAGATTGGCACTGTTTGCTTATCTTGGCAGCATTCCTCCTTATCCTAACTTTAATGTCTTTCAGTTCTCCTTTGGGGCTTGTCGGAGATTTTGTAGACAGATTTGCGTTGATCATTTGCAGAAGCTTGTACACGTATTCCTATTGTTGTAATGATAGAGAATTTAATATTCTGATTTCTGCTACCTATTATTTGTATTGTCATTAGTTCTGATTTTAATTGTTGTGTATTCTTAGCATAGATGATGAAAGGAAGAAACTATTATTTACTAGGCAGCATTTTATGCATTCTAGGTTATGTTTTTATTGACTTGTGGAAGAGGGGTGATGGTACCCAGACAAATGTGATTGATTTGTTTAGGTATGAAGTAACTCTCAAGTAGAAATCTTTCATATTATACTTCTTTGCCTACATTATTTTAAAGCACTGAAGCATTTTTTTTCCTTTGAGGAATATATCTTACTTGAATACAATTGATTAATACAGTTTAATTTCTGTGACTCATGAAGAAAACACACATATTCCAGAAACAACTAGGTTTCTGGAATATTTCAGTAAATGGTTTGATGCCTTTTAGCAGTTTACCTATATAGCTGATTTAATCAGTTTGTTATTTAATTTACACATTCTTATTTTTGAGTTAGAAAATTTTTTCATGCTTATCTTTGAAATGAGGTGACAAGATTTTTGAGATGTGGTATGATGATAATTAGCTGTATTATTAATTTAACATTTGGTAAATTTGCTTATTGATTGCATAACCGCCAAATCTGCTCTTATATTCTTTTTGTTTGATTTTAGTTATCCAGGCACTGATTATCCAGTTTTTCTTACTTTTCCAACTTCTTCTTGCCTTTGGCCTGAATCACCACTTTTTAAGGTTTTGAAGATCATTAAACTTGAAATCAGAAGACCTGGATTGAAGTCTGGGCTCCACTATTTATTGAGTAATGGTTGACAGGTTACTTAACATTCTGAGCTAGTCTGGATTGTGTTGATAAAAGTACTGCTCACTTTATTTCGTAGGATTGTCTCAAGGATTAAGTGAGATAGTAAATGTGAAATCATTATATAAATGACAACATGGTATCATTTTACTGGTGAGAGCTGGGAATACGTCAGTGCAGAATATTGTTATTTCACATGATTTTCTGAAAATATCATCACATACTTTTCTGAGGTGATCTTTGACCTACTTGGGAAGACAGTAAAGCTAGCCAAGAATAGTTTGATACTGTGATCCATTGAATTAGTCACCTTGGTTAATAGGTAGCTGGAAAATGAGTATAGTTTTACATTTGGGAGTTTGAATCTGATCATTCTTGGTCATCATGTATTGTCACTTGAAAATGTCCAAGTGCAGAAAAAAAGCTGAAGTTTTTGGTACTTATATGTAGTTAACTAAAGGTTAGACATAGCCCTACCTTACTTACATACTTATATTAAGTAAGAAACCTTACTGTTTCACTGGGATCAATATTAAGAATTAGAAGGAACCTCTGTGAATACGTAGTTAGAGATTCTTCTCATTTAATAGAGGAGAAAATTGGGGCCCAGAAACGATCAGTAATTGGCTTGCCTGAAGTCATCTGGCTTAAACAGTGCCAGAACCTGAACTGTAACTAAGGTCCCTAGTGTACTTTCTGTTCTGCTAAGGTTGTCCCCAGGCGTCTTGATATGGTTTGGTAATATTTCCTGGTTTGCATGAAAATGTTTTCTCTTATGTGTTTAATGGAATCTATCTATCCACACACACATAAATACACATATACATAAACATTTTTTACAAACTTTTCCTTCCTTTTTTAGCTGTTTTATAAATTGTAGAATGACAAAAACTGTGCTTGGAAAGATTTGCAGTGGAATGCATTAAGGAAAGAAAACTAGTTATATTCTTTAGAATAGTTATTCTGAGTTCATGCTTCATTACTATCAGGTATTGAGGTGTCTCCTTTCTGGCAATTGGAAGTGACAGAGGATCCTTGTAACACATGTCTCTACTGAGTAAATGTTGCAAAAGAGTAGGAGGGAGCTGTATTAATTTCTTTGCTCCTGCTAAAAATACTTCCCCAAGCTGTTTGTAATTTTAATATTCTGTTATGTTAATTATCTATTATATAAAGAGTCATTTCTCTAGTTATTTCATTCTGGATGGATAGCCACTGTAGAAGAGTTAATTCTTTGTCTAGTTGGGTACTCCTTTTGGTTCCACTGATTTCGTAAAACCTGTTAAATCTCTCTCCTTTCTTGGAGATGATAGTTCTAGGTGCTACTCTAATTCCTGTTTTGCCCAAGTGCGCTCTGTGTGTTTCTCCCTTTTTGGTGTGGAAATGAACTCTAGATTAGAGAATCCTGACAAATTAGATGAATTGAAGGGAAAATTTGGTTGCGATTTTGTTAGTTGTTAATCTCCTTTCACAAAGCCTTGCAAATATTTTTGGGAGCAAACTTTTAAAGAGCATATTGCCTCAAGAAATTCCTTATTTTGTCTGGGAAAACAACTTTGAAAGTGTTTGCTGAACTGAAGTTGTGTATTATGTAAACCCTTATATAAAGCTCATTTTAAAATATTATGCTCCTTCATTTGCAGTATCAAGGCAATTTGAACTAGAGACACTTTTTTGTGTCACACCAAAGGTGCTACTTAAAGTTTAAGGCATAGTTAAATTAAGCAAGGGCAATCCATTGAGTAATCCTTTCTCAGATAGGCTACTTATAATTGCTAAAGTGTTTGTTAGTATTCCTTATCTTTTCAGGAGTTCATTGTGATGTTTTCTCTTGTTCTCGGGGTCCTTTAATGATAGCTTTGGTCTTTATAGGTTATCTGGAAGGACTAGGCAGGTAGTGTTAAGAGCCAAGGCTATAAAGCTAGACTGCCTTGGTTCAAATTCAGCTCTATTACTGTGCAACCCTTTTACTAGCTACTTAACCTCTGGCTATCTCTGTTTCCTCCTAGACAATGAAATCAGTACCTTTATTTTTAGGGTTAAATGAATAGATGTAAGTAAAGCATTTAGGACAGTGCCTAGCATATTGTTAACCATGATTACGATCATTGTCATCATGTGGCCCCCTGAGCTGTTGCTAAGAACTTTTTCCTAACCCTCTTTTGAAAGAATGCCTTTATGTAGCTGCTTACTTAATTATTATTTGCTCATTATTAATGAAGTTTCAGTAAATATCTCAGAGTATACATTTCATTTAGTGAATATTTTACAACATATGTGGGATTCTTAATGAAATGAGGCATTCTTACAGGCCATGCTGTTAACCTTTTTGTATTATTAACAGATTACTTTATCTGTATAAGCCATAACACAGAATTTGGGAATTGAAACCAAGTGTTCTTTTTGATATTTAATGACGTCTTCTAGCACTTACTTTTTTTGCATGGAAAGATCACTTTCCAATGACATTGCCTTATCTGTTCATTCATCCAGTCAATGAACAAACATCTTGTGTCCTAGGCCTTATACCAGGTTCTGGGGAAAACTGGCAAACAAGACTTGTTATGAAGGAAGCAAACAAGGGTCTGAGAGAGAGTTAACAGTGTGGATATATGCCTCTTTGAGGCTGGAGCACAGTAGACTTGGAATACAGCAACATGAGATGATGTAGGAAAGATACTCTGCTATTATGATATATATGTGTGTATATATATATATATTTTTTTTTCATCCTCAGTTCCTGGCTCATAACTCCCATCAGAATGCTGGTGCTCTTTAGGCCTCAGGAGCAGGTTTCAGAAAATAGAATCTCTCTCTCTGACCTTTTCCTGTCCTTTCACCTGCCCAAGGCAGGACTGTAATCTGTGGCTCAAAAGACACTCATTGCAGAGAGTCCTGCCCCATACGAGGAAGGACTGCTGTACAGAGAGGCCAAGAAAATCTGGACAGACGGGCCTTGCTAGGTTTAGATTATACCCTTTTTGTCCAATCATATTTTGACATGGTTGTCCATGCTTCAATCATGGACAACCAGTGAAGTCTCCATAAAAGGCCCAAAGGACAGGGTTTGTGGACCTTCCATAGAGCTGAACACATGGAATTTCCTGGAGGGTGACACTCCCAGGGAGGGTGTGGAAGCTCTGTGCCCCTTTCTTACATGTTTTGCCCCATGCATCTTTTCATCTGTATCCTTTGTAATAACCTTTGTAATAATTCAATAAATGTATTTCCCTGAGTTCTGTGAGCCACTCTAGCAAAATAATCAAACCCAAAGAGAGGGTCATGGGAACCC